AGTACTGGTTAAAGTCGGGAATTCATCCGGGTTGCTCCATAGTCGGCGACAGTTCGGGCACGTGCTGTTCTGTTGCAGCCATCTCACTCCGCACTGCAACTCATACATCAGAACTTGCAAGAGTTTATAATTCCCTACGCTGTCGTCCAACAGATAGTTCGGGACAAAAATGTGGTCTGCTTTGGTGCAGTTACTTCAGGATCCAGCTTATTGCTTCGGCTGCCTTTTATCGAGAAGTTTTAGCAGTAATTAGTGCTATTTCCTACGAAGGGCTTGTAAACATGAGAAAGCAAACAAATCGAGTCGTAATTTTTCAAAATTTCCTCACTACTACTTCGGTATTCTGCAAATACTTGGTATCTTCTCAGCCAAGTACCGCATTGACAGGGCTCATCAAATACACGAGTTTTTGCATTTGATGGATTGCAGAGAGAGCCTCCCCACTTTTCATCCCAAGTTTTCTCAACAAAGCAGATCTGCTTTGAGAACAATGACAAATGACGATCGCTGACAATTTGCTCGCCGCCCTCCACGAGACCAAAGTAAACGGAAGCAGGAATCAACAAAATTGGGACCGTAAAAGTTTAAAAGCGGGTCGTTTAAGATAAACTTTGTGATGAGGATAAACTGAAAGGCATTGATCTGCTTGTATTTACAGTTAAGGGTTAAAACACAGACTGCTTGGCTCATCTGACTGCTATCGTATTTGCCATATGGCTCTATCTTTCTTGATATCCCAACCATTTTTATCAATATTATTTAAAACGCATGCAGAAATACAGACTGAATGGATCAAACTCCAGTCGTTCTACAGTTATTAGTGGTTCAAAGGCGTATTTTGGCAAAATTTAAGAAAACAGAAATTAAACTGCTAAATAGGAATGTTTCGGTCGTTGAAGTGTTATGAGGAAGAAGGCAGCTACGAGTATGTGTTGTAAATGTGCCTCAATCGAAGGGTTCAAAAGCATCATGTGTGAAATAGTCTCACCTCGTGATGAAAGGAATCCTCACAGGAAGGGCATTCGAGCAACTTCTCGGCATGAGCCAATGACTGCAGGCAAATTTTACATTCCTGGTTCTCACTGTCCATACCACGATGAATGTTCTGAAAAAAACAATTCTTCAAAACTACCACCCAGCCAACCGACATATCCAGAAAAGTGGGAGAAGCACAACAACTACTAAAAAAATTACACAGGCATTGTCAGAAAGCGAAGAAGACATTAGGAATGTCAGAATATGATCATCCTCCTGTCTGCTATCTTCACCATGATAGGAGTATCAAGGGGATAATTCATCCTTTAAAAGCTATGCTTAAAAGCCTCCTAACTTCCTAATCAGAAACCCATATTCCTGACTACTGCAAAGGCTTAGTCATCTGCGAGTGGAGGACTTTAAAGTAATTAAGGGGTTTAGCCCTCCTCCCTCCCCTCAAAAAAAGTCTATAAACAGAGGGATAATATAACCTCTCGAAAAAATCTCTAAACTATTCTTTTTACCGTGACAAAAGTAAGACGGCGATAATTCTTCCTTTAAAAGCCATGCTTAAAAAGAATTGAGGGATTTGGCTCAAAAAAGACTATATAAAGGATGTGCAAAAATATTTACGAACAAAGTATCTAAAAATAAATAACTGAAATGAGGGCGCACTAAGACAATCACGACATCACAACAACCACAACTAGCCTGAGGGAGCCAGGCATACCCAAAAACGCCAAAACTTGCTAAACAACTACACTGCGCAACTATGGGATCTTTACGGAAACAGAAATACATACGGAAATCTTATAAAAGGGGCTGCTAGAAGTACTCTTAAATTTACAGACGAAGTGCCCCAGCAAGCTCCGTATGGACCTCACGTGCCAGTCTTCACAAGCACATCACAACACCACAATATAAAACGAAAAAAAGCGAAGTGCAGTGATGCACTGCCAAACACCAGTGCTCCAGCAGCATTTCATGAGCTGCAGCAGCTCACATCTCTACTTCAGTTCATAGCTGAAGCCTGCCATTCATCCTACAGAACGGCCAAAAATGTTATGTTCGTTAATTCTAGGAACGAATGTACCCGAAACCGTCAAGAACAGACGCTCACGCCCCCTCCTCATCAGCCGCTGCATTCTGAGATTCAGAATTTGTGAGGCCGTGACACACCAAAAGTTGCTACTCGGCGCCAGTGTTTGGTGCAACAACATAAATCTTGCCGTGACTGACAATTTACCTCAAAATACGAATGATATGATGATAACGTGAACGGTGTCTAAAAATGTGATTTCATTACGGAGGCCAAAGCAATAACTGTCAGAGACTGAGTCACTTCATTTGTGAAACACATTAAAAACATCTCCAGCCACATAAGCAAAACAGCTTACGGCGCGAAGAGATGGACGGGGAAGGAAAAATAAGTGGGAGAAAAGCATTACAAATTTTTGTAATGGGAAAAAAGCAAAAGCTAAATCCAACCAAGAGGGGCAAAATTCAACAACGAAGGAATAAAAATAACCTAAAAGACAACAATTTGTGGGAAAGGCACTAGAAATCTCATTACTATTAAAGTCCACTAAAAAGCGACCAGGATAGGCCTAAAGTTATCGCTAGAAAGCGCTATATTTGGGAAAATGAGTCTGGGTGTATTATTATCAATGATAAGTGAGAACAGTAATGTGCAAATCAAAGGAATCATTCAAATTAAATTCCACTCTTCGCTGTCTAGTAAGTGCCAACAGTAACCACTAGTTGAGAAGGCCACTGACGGCTTCCTCGTCTAGGAATTGCTGGGGATACCTACACGGGGAAAAATTTCCTTTACGTGCATCAAAATTCATTTACCATCGAAAAGAATGAACAAATCGTAGTGGAACTGGTTTCGTCACTAACCCAGTTCAGCTCAGACAGCATTGCAACTAAGTTATATTCGCTCAGTCAAAAAAACAACTATCAGAAGAAAGCCACAGTTACCCTTTGCTAGTTCT